CTGCCGGGCGCCGGAGTAATATGCTCACTCGAGTGAAATCTGCTGTGGCCAATTTCATGGGCGGCATCATGGCTGGCAGCTCGGGCTCCGAGCACAGCGGCGGAGGCTGCGGAGGCTCGGACCTGCCCCTGCGCTTCCCGTACGGGCGGCCGGAGTTCCTGGGGCTGTCTCAGGACGAGGTGGAGTGCAGCGCCGACCACATCGCCCGCCCCATCCTCATCCTCAAGGAGACCCGGCGGCTGCCCTGGGCTACTGGATACGCAGAGTGAGTGCCGCGACACCGGCGGGTCCCCCGCTCTCCTCACGGCCCTTCCCCGCACGGTTCCGAACCTCCTCTCTTCTTGTTCCTCAGCCCCCAGGGTTTTCTGGCTGCCGGCGTCAGGCCTCGCCGGGTACCTAGGCGGGTACCTGACCCTTCCTGTCTTCTCCACGCCCCCTTCCCCCATCCCCAAGGACGCGGCGTCTCCAGCCCGGGTATGGGTGGTAGATGGGTAGGTGAAGCGCTGGACCGTGGGAAAGCGAAGGTTGGGCGGATCTGTGATTTCGGGGGCTGTGGCACTTGGGAATGCGTAGAACAGTTCTACTGAAGTTTGAAACACAGCAGGGAAATCGGGTATCTGTGTTCTCCACCCCAGATCTTTGTGCCTCCAGGTGAAGTGTGTGGGGTAGAGCCTGGAGGAGCGGTCCCGGCGCCAGGGGTGGGGGTGGGGGTGGTGTCTGAGCCCGGGAGGCGGCCGCGTTTGCTTCCGAGGTTGCACGTTTCGGAAGGTCTCCGGTTCCTGACTTCAGCCTCATAGCTTATTCGCTTCTGGGTTAGCAGGTAGTAAAACCCAGCGCGTTCGTTACATGCCAGTACAATTCCCCCAAGCCCTTCGGGAGGGGGAAACTTGTTCCAGGTGTTTAATGACAGCATTTTGGTCATCAGCTTTGGCGATTAAACGAGCGTTTGCGTGATTTGCTATTTCAAGAACCGGTTGAGTTTTGTTGACGCCCTGGAGTGGAACAGGGCAAGGAGGGCGGGAGGGTTTTAATGGCCTCTGCCCCCCTCTTCGGCTGCTCCCTCATTGACTGTATTAATGACCATTTTATGAATGGTGGGAGAAGTACGTACTGTTTCTCCCCGTTTAGCGTTATGGAACCGCAAAACTCCGGGGGCGGAATTTAAGAGCACTGAGTCGTGGGGTTAATGGTGACCTGGTGGTTGCAGAAATTGCACGTGAAATCCTGGCGCCTTGGCACACCTGCCCCTTCAGCTTTAACCGGGTCCGCTCTGTAATCTGGGCCCTCCCTCGCCCGTGCACAGCTTCGCCCGCTGATTGGTCCCCGATGAGCCAATCAGCTCTCCCGAAGCCTGAGCGCTCTGATGCTGACCCTGTTCTGGTGGCCCGGATACCCCGGGCGGGCTGGGTTCCCGGCACTCCGGTTCCGGTGCGAGAGGTGGCCTGGAAGATGCTCTGCTTAGAATCTGGAATCCTCCCTCCACCACCCCCTCCCACCACCCACTTTCCACATATAACCGTTTCTCCATGGGCTGAAATAGAAAATGGGTATAAATGGGGATAGACGGCTACGGTGTGAGAGTGAGGAATCCGAAGTGAAACTGATGGATGCTAAAACAAAAAATTAACACATTACAGCGGTTCTCAACCTGTGGGTCGCGACCCCTTTAGGGGTCGCCTAAGACCATCGGAAAACACATATATAATTACATATTGTTTTTGTGATGAATCACTATGCTTTAATTATGCTCAATTTGTAACAATGAAAATACATCCTGCATATCAGATATTTACATTACGATTCATAACAGTAGCAAAATTACAGTTATGAAGTAGCAACGAAAATAATTTTATGGTTGGGGGTCACCACCACATGAGGAACTGTATTAAAGGGTCGCGGCATGAGGAAGGTTGAGAACCACTGCAGGGTCAGCATGGAAGAGAAAGTTGGGGGTGGGGACGCACAAAATAGCTCTGTAACTTCCAGGAGAAAGCCAAAGCAAAAATAAACACCTATGTAAGGAGAGACGTAGAGGAGGGAAAAGTGCCTGCCAAACACACCACTGTTTCTTGGCTGCAATGAGAAAGCATTGTTTAAAAGCTCATTTGGGCCCTTTGCAAGACAAAAGCAGCTTGAAGGCATACTCCTCCCTGCAATTGTGTAGGTGGGCCCTTGTGCCTGCCCCAAACCGGAAAGTGTGGGGCTGGGATGGCACTCCATTGGGCTTTCCAGGGCAAGGGCATCTGTGGGGTGGGGGTGGAGAAAGGCAAGCAGGCAAATGGTGAGAAAGTTATGAGAGGTGGGAAGGAAGCTGCTAAAACACGAAATGTGGAAGCCACTTGGGCACAAGAAAAGGAGTACCCCAGAGAAGCAGGACAGAACGGAAAGCAGGACAGACTGTCCACCAGTTTCAGAAGGTTTGGATCCTATGGCCGCACACGGTGTGCCTAGGGCTGTAAAGAGGATAAGGGAATCTGAAATGAGCATGTAGGAGAGATTGTACTTCAAGGGCTCTGCCTCTTCCTAGTTGGGCTTCTGTTTCCTTATTTCTAAGACAGGACTTGAGAGAGGTTCGATTTGAAGGTTAAGAAAGGCCATTGTAAAATGCTTCGTTTTAAAAATAGTACATGTTAATTCAAGCAAAGACCTGTATGTAAATGTAAGCCCTCCCTCATCCCCCAGGGGCAATGGTGATTCAGCATTTTGTGTGTGTGCCTTTTAAGCTTCTTTGGATGCACCTTTAAATATGTATCATTTCTTCTTTTTCCCCCAAACAGATCCATACTACGCATGTTATTCAGCAGCATTTTCTTAAAACAGGGTGTCATCGATTTTATTCCAAGTCAGTGCATATAAAAGTTCCTCATTCTTTTAAAATGTATACATAGTACTAATAACAGCTAACAGTTAGTACTTGCTGTTTAGGGCTTGCATTCTTTCCAAGTTTGTGTCATATCATTTGATTCTCACAACAACCCTCTAAGGCAGCTATTTTCAACCTTTTTCATCTCATGGCTCACATGAACTAATTATTAAAATTCTGCAGCACAACAGAAATATATTTTTTGCTAATCTGGCAAAGAAAATAGATATAACTTTGATTCATTCACACTGGATGGCTGTTGTTGTGTTGGCTAGTGTCATTTAAATTTGACAATCTAGCCTTAACCGGTTTGGCTCAGTGGATAGAGCATCAGCCTGCGAACTGGGGGGTCCCAGATTCGATCCCAGTCAAAGGCATGTACCTTGGTTGCAGGCACATTCCCAGTTGGGGGTGTGCAGGAGGCAGCTGATCAATGTTTCTCTCTCATCGATGTTTCTAACTCTCTATCCCTCTCCCTTCCTCTCTGTAAAAAAAAAAATCAATAAAATGTATTAAAAAAAATAAAATAAAATAAATTTGACAATCTAAGGGAAAAGAAGGTCAGTGTCTCTGACTAAATAGTCAGCTATTGCATGTTTTAAAAAATCTTGCGGCATACTAGTTGAAAATCGCTCTAAGGTGAGCACTAACAATTCCATTTTATAGATGAGGATACAGAGGCATGGAATGGTTAAGTAACTTGCCCAGAGTCATGCCACCTTAGCAGAACCTGTATTTGAACCCAAGCAACCTGACTCTGTAGCCCACAACAGCAAACTACCTCCTTACAATGTATGAAATTGTGGTACATCCATCTGTACCCACGGTTAACCATTAACATTGTCTTGCCATCTCCCTCTGTCAGATGTTGTACTGTACCACTTCCTCAGACCTTGAATTGTAGTTGATCTTCCTGCAAAATATATCTCGAATGACCAAAAATGGCTGAAATAGGGAAGGGGAGAAAGACAAAGACAAGTTGGAACTGGGGCTATGATTAAAGGCTGCTACCATGAAAATTGCCCCTTGCTACAGGATGTACTGGGAGGAGGAATTATCTTCTCTTTGTTCTAGAAGAGTGGTCGGCAAACTGCGGCTCGAGAGCCACATGCGGCTCTTTGGCCCCTTGAGTGTGGCTCTTCCACAAAATGCCGACTTCTGCGCATGGGCCAAAAGTTTCTATCGCACTGTACGTGCGCGCCCACACGTGGTATTTTGTGGAAGAGCCACACTCAAGGGGCCAAAGAGCCGCATGTGGCTCGCGAGCCGCAGTTTGCTGACCACTGTTCTAGAAGGTACTTGAGAAAGGATAGCATTGGTAGGAAGATTGCTCAGGGATAAGAGAGATGGCACTGAGTCAGGGCCTGAATCAGAAGTGGTTTGCTTATCTTTCTAGAGCAGTGGTTCTCAACCTTGGCTGCACATTAGAATCACCTGGGAATCTTTTTAAAATTCTGATTTCTGGGCCTCATCCTCTGGAAATTCTGTTTCTTCGTTACTAATGATGAGGCCTAGAAATCAGGATTTTAAAAAGATTCCCAGGTGATTCTAATGTGCAGCCAAGGTTGAGAACCACTGTTCTAAAAGCTTCCAATTATGGCTGAAAAGTTAGCTGCTTGATTAAGGGCTACATGCTAGGTTTACAAGCACTGCAGTTACAGACAACATCCAAAGAGCTAAAATCTTTCCCAAAACTTGCGTTCTAGTTTGGCTTTGAAATTCCTGACTTAGCCTGTTAGATCTGCTCAGAGTGAGCCCATTCGAAGCATCAGTCTGACCCAGAGACCCTTCCCAGCAGCTACTTCCTTTCTCTCTCCACAAGTTTAAATACCACCCTGGTGGTCCCTGTCCTTCAGGGACCTAGAAGTCAGTTCAATTTCTAGTTGGCTAGGAGCCCATTTTGACTTTTCTTCTTCTTGACCTGTTTGTCCACCTTTCTCCTATTGATGGTCATTTGGACATAGATATACAAGTGGATACCTGAAACTTTCAGCAGTAGAGAATGCCAGAGAATGTGCAGTTCCCTGTATATGAAAGCAGCACATTCAGGTTTTTATCTGTGATAAATTTATTTGCTTGTACAGAAAGAATAATAATTATAGCATAATTTTACTTAGGTTGTAGCTATAACTCTACAAATTATTTTAGTACCTTTCTCATAAAAGTACCCTGTACATAGGTACAAAAAAGAAAAAGCTTAAGAGGTTCTATTAAATGTACATTACATAAGTTATTTGTGTGTCATTGACTTCAAAATTGTGAAATTTTGCCTGGCTGGTGTGGCTCAGCAGTTGAGCGTCGACCCAGGAACCAAGAGGTTGCCAGTTCCATTCCCTAGTCATTGACACTAAATAGCAATTACCAATAAATCGCATTACTTGCCTGTGCAGTGGAGATGACAG